TTTGTGTATTTCTCAAGAGACATTTTTGTCCATCTAATCTTACAGTACAGCATCAGCTTAATATTGGAAAGATATTTTAATATTTATTGACTTTTGGGAAACAATACCAGACCAAGTAATTTGTGAGGCTTACATTTCATATGAGCCATTTGCTTCTATTCAGTTTTCCTTTGTTCCTTTTTATGTCTTAGCTTGGTGTGAAAATTGCCAAAGCTGCCGCTTGCCGCAACTTTGTAAAAGCCAAACAAGAAGCAGAGGCTGCCCAAGAAGCTCGGAAGAAAAAGAAGCTTGCTTGGGGGTAAGTCATTTGAGTATGGAATTAAACATTTGTGGTTTCGTTGGCACTAAGTGTATGCAATACAATCTCAGTTGAATGTTTCCTTAGTTGAAATAGGCTTGTGTTAATCTTATTTGTTTAGTTTAACCTTGTGTCTTTTTTTTTTTTTCTTTTGAGCAGTGTGTAAGACTAAGGATGCTTTACCAGGATTAATGTATTGGTCATATGGTTAAATTACATTGTCTTTATTATGGTTTAAAAAATAAGTTTTGATTGTAATTATTGCTAAGAAATGGTTGAATACCTGAAGTGTTTGTGTTCACTATTCCTCACGATTTTTTTCTCCTCTGTTTCAGATTTGAAGCTAAGAAAAGATGGGAAACAAAAAGCAACATGGGATACATGTAATCCATTGTATTTTCATCAGGAGTTAAATACCTGGTTTTACTTGAAGAATCTTTGTGGGTGACTTTCTCAAATATAAACACAAAATTTAAAAATAAATAAAAACCACATAAATCCTAACACATCAAATTCCTTGTGTTTCAGTGCTGTTAAATTACAGTATCTTGTTATGTCACTCTTATAATGTAGCAAAAATGCTATCTAAACATAAGTGCTATGTTAACAGCATTTTTCTCCAAAATATAGAAATCTAAGGTACTGTAGGTACTGTATTGTAAAATGCATTTGGAGTCTGGAAGGGAGCTCTCTAAAGATGCAGTAAAATACTTCATCCAAATGTGTTCTCTGTGCTTCATTGCAGTTGCCATATACCTGTTCCATGGGTATAAGGAGAGGTATAAGGTTTTCTATGTTTTACCCTATGCTATACAGGCATAATGAAGTACTTTTTCTATGATTACTCGAGAGTTTAGGGTGGTGTTATGAGGCTGAATAAAGAAAAGAATACCTTACCTGTTTAAAGCTGTCCTTATTTATGTATTTATCAACTCTGTAAATGCAAACAGAAGTTGGCTGAAAAAGCCCATCCTCCCTCTACTGGGAGGATCTGGTACTATTCGTTATGTCCTGGTGCCATGTTTTTCAGAATGCTTCAAATTCCTATTATCCTTTCCTTTGCAAGAACTCAAGTTCTTAAAGTCCCAGTTTGAGTAGATCAAGTATAGAAACATATCTTCAAAAATATCTAAGATCTGTTATATTTTACAGTTAGCTGCACCCAAGAGACAAATACAGATTTTACTCCAAGTCAGATATTTTACAGATAAATAAAGATTTGAATGCTTTTAAGAATTATAGCAAGAATTGATGATGATGTTTCCACAAAATTGTTCTCAGTGAAAAGTAAAGACACATTCAGAACTAATAACTTTTCTCCCTGAAGCTCTTGCATATATGTTTAGTTACCACAATGCCTGAATTGAATTGGTAATGTAAATGTCAGTTATTGTTAACCAAGATTAATATGTTTCAGGCCAAAGGTATGGTATTAGCGTAATGGTGATTTACTGTGTAAGTACTTGAGGCTAAAACAACTTGCCAACAAATAGTAATTTGAAGTTTTACGGCATGAATTCGAAGAGGTTAGATTTGCAGTCTAACACGGAATAGTGCATTTTTGTTCATTAGCCCTCGGGATGTTTGATTTTTTTTTTTTTAGTAGAACATCATATTTCTTTCACAAAGATGAGAGTTTGCAATATGGTAATCTGCAGTTAGCTGTAATTAGTTATGATGACGGAGTTGAATACAATTGCCAGGACTGTAAATCAGGGGCTAAACAGGTTTCTGCAATAGAACATCATAAATCTCACACTATGGTTTACAAAATACATTAGCTTTAGAAACTGGTATGGAAGGAAGCAAGTGATACCTCTTAGTAAAATGTTTGCAAAGGTAGTTGTCTGCTTATTGTTGTAACCAAACTAGATAACACCATGAATGATATCCAGATTTTTCCTCATTGTCTATTTTTCCTCAGTCCAAAAGAAGATAGGTGTGTACAAAACATTCTTGTCTAAAACTTAACAGGCACTCTGCCCATAGTTTATTTTTTTAAGCACTTGACAGATAGGTGTTGGATACAGCCGACCTTTCTACTTATGACATACTGAAAAGCAGAATGATGCTGATAACTTTGTGCTGAAAACATTAGTAGTATTCCATTATTTAAACACAGAAGTACTGTATATTAAGAATGTTCATACATCTGCTCATAGACAGTACTCTTAATAGTAACAGTTAATATATATTGGTCAAATAAAGATCTTCATCTAATCATAAGGATCAGTGTGGTTGTTTAATTTGAAAATGGGTTATAAAGAATCCAAACCCTCAAATAGCAGCTGTCGTCTGAGAAGTTGACACACTATTCATCACAGCAGTACAAACCTTCATGTAATATTTTTCAATTTCACTTAAAATAACTAATTAGTTTTATGTTAGGTTGTTAACAACCTAATTATTTGAGAAGTATGCAAAATATTTGCTTTGGGTTCCGGGTTCCTTATGTGATGAAATAGTTATTGGTTATTCATAAGTGATGAATAACCAATTTCAAGTATTTTGGTATACCTAAACTACTGACTTAGAATGTTACTTAATTCCTGGAATTATACAGTGTTCAAAAAAAAACACAAAAGCACACCCTGATTATTAGGGAAAATCTAAGAGCCTAATGCATCTGTATAGAGATTATCTGAATGCATAATAAATGCATGCATAATTGTACCTTAATAAATGTTTTCCTGAATTACTGATCTGATTTGAGATGTTACATTCCTGGCTTCTGTAGAGTACTTTTGCTCTGTGCCAGAGTTCTGACCATCTCTCAGAAGCCTCAGGGAAACCTAAATCCATGAGCAAGTTCTGCACCAACTCTTTCCCCACCGCAGTTTCATATTTAGCCAAACTAAAGCCTTGAGATTCTCATATGTTGAGTAATCCTACATCATGGTGTGTGTGTGTGTGTGAAGCTTGTAGTTTTTTGTAGACATCTCTCAAGAGCAAAACTAACTTTGAAAAGGGGAAAGTCCTTGTGCAATTATGCAACCCAAGTTCAAAGAATGTTTTATCTTGAGATCTTGAGTTACCTTGAGCTACCTGGCCTAACCAGAGCTGTGTTAGGTGCCCAACTCCACCAGCAAGGCTTCTCAACTATTAGCTCAGGTGCAGAGTGAGGATTGCTTTTGGTTTTACAGTAGGCTTGGCCAATGTCAACTTAATGGCTCCGCATTTTCTCTAAGCAATGTTCGATGCTTCAGTATAAGCTGCTCACTCACGTGGGTGTCATACTTTTTTTTCCTGCTCCATCTGGAGGTCGTCCAGACTCATGTTCTTGCAATTCTATTGTGTTAAAAGGCCTGAACAATTAAGAAAGAAATTGTTTATCAAATCCTGGGAGAAAATACAGTTTAAAGTTGGACAACAGCATGCTAATACAATTAACAGTATTTCTAAATACCACATTCCTGAGCTCCTAAACCAAAGAGTGGCTGCAGGGACAGTTTGACAGATAAAAACATATATATAGTTGTTAGTTTTAATAGTTTTTTGCCTGCAACCATAATCTGTATCATTATTTTTTAGTTTAATTCTGTTGGACAAGTTTCAAAGATAAATATGGTGTGTAATAAGCCTTTGCAACCTCTAATTTGTGAAGGAGTGTCTGTCCAGTTAATACTTGTTCATTGAAGCAAGGGGTTTTGAAATAGCTGGAGTACGAACTGTAATTACTGATGTCTGTTTCCTATTCACCTATGGGTTCTGGCATTTGATCAAAAAATGTAATGTATTGCTTAATCTCAGCATTCCCCATTTTCAAAAATATTTACTTTATGAGAATTGTACAGCGCTGAGTGACCTCTGCAAGACCAGAGCAGATTTTCATTTGGCAATGATCATATGGCGTGAATCCAAGTTTTATTCCTGTTACTTCTGAACTGTTGCTAATTCAGATAGGTATCTATTTATAATGCACCTCTAGTGGAAGTTCAAAGCATTTTAAAAAGGATTTAATATATTAATATCAGTGTTTTTTAACTTTAATGGGAGTTCTCAGAAGAATACAAATATTGAGCAATTTATGCAAGGACAACCTGCAAGTTGACAGCAAAGTGGCAAATGGAAGTTATTCTCTATTTAGTGTGTGGTTTGTCACAGTTGGAAATAACTTGAAGTTTGGAAAAAATGAGGTAGGTTTAAATCTGTTTGAAAGCCAACGGGAATTAAGTACCTCACTGCCATCTGCCCTGCTGAGAGGGCAAGAAACTGGGACATCGAATGTGAATGTTCTAAGCATCACAAGAGGTAGTGGAAGCCCTAATTTCATTCAAGAAAAGTTGTCATCCTTCTTGTCTAAAAATGACTGTTGTTTTTGTATCTGCCTACAGCTGTGTTTATTTTGCCATCAAATCTTGTCTTTCCAGTTTCCTTGGAACTGTGTGTGGCGGAATTGAGAGGTTTTCCATTTCTTTGCTTAAAATCAGACCTAGAATATAACAATTTGTTCTCAAAAAAATAAAACAAATAGAAATAAAAAAAAATAAACATAGAAATTGGTTGCTCAGAAATGCAAACAGTCAAGTTTATATATAAAATGTGAGCTGTACAGGTTCTGCATGGAATGGCTCTTATCAAGCTCTTTCTTTGATTATGTTCATGAATATGATGGGCACCATCTGAGTAAGAAAGCTCTTTGCAGTGACAAGTCAGCATTGTGCCAAGACATTGGTTGCATTGCAAATCACAGAGAAGCATGTCAGTTACTGAATTGTCATCCTAACTTAAATACTGTGTTCATTCCTCCTGGAGTTTCCCAGGTAGATTGCTTGGGTTATACAGATAAAGTGACTTTGAGTCAATACAAAGTTGTCACAGGTTGAAACAAGCAGTTGTATTTCTGTGTTACATGCTTCAGTGTGAACTGTCCTCTCACAGCTTAATTTTTTGCTATAACTGAGTGTAAGTTCACATCATGTAAGAGAAAAGATACAGAAATAACAACTGTTACTCGGATGAGAACCAACCACCTTACAGTAAGGAGAGAGGAATTTTGTTCATTCTTTTTGTCAAGATAGCTGATTAGACTCACACATCTAGATTCTCTGCTGTAGGTATGTTGAGTCTGATAATGCTGTCTGTGGAGTCTCCTACCTGAAAGGTAAGGCTTTTTAAGCCTTTCTGTATTGAAAATGGGTTGCTGGCTTGCAGGATCTTTCTTAATACTGAAGTGCTTGTTGACCAGTGGAGACCGTTACTTCCAACTAGTAGCTCACTGAATCGATCAGAACTGCTTGATGGGACAAGCGATAATCATCTGCATCTTCTGTGATAAATGGGATGACGCTGTGAAAAATTAGCTGCATCTTTGGCATCTGTGATGAAAAACAGTTCTTTTGCAAATGGAAGATTCCCAACATAAATGATTCAGATTTTTTAAGCATTCATTTCTCTCCTGTAGAGCTTATTAGACTACCTTTTCCACAATTGTATTCTGAGCATCAGCTCCCCAAGCTGCTCTCTCTGTAATGGTGCAGTTTTCCAAGAAGGCCTTAAATAAAACGAAGTGTAGTAAGCTAGTATGAACTGCAAACACCCAAAGAACACTGGTGGGATGCACGTTTCAGCTTCTCATTACCATCAAAGAATTGAGAATAGAGCTTTTACTTTTTGCAGAGTTAACTAAGAGAACATTGAGGGCAGTCTGCTAGCAAGTGCTGTCCTCTCTGTTACCTGCCAAAGCTGCAAGCAGTGAGAGTAAGCCAAATGGGCATTTCCAATTTGAATACTACTCTCTTTGTAGAAATATGTTTATAAAATGTCGTCCACTCTCACCATAGGAGTGCCAGGGACTTTTCCTATAGACATAAAGACATCAGCATGCTTTTTGCTAAGAATTATTTCCCTTGCTTCTCTTGCTCTTTTCATTTATTTTAACAAACATTTTAAAATAAGCCTTGCTTCAGCTTACTTCAGCTTTTAACAAACAGCTCAGATAAGGAATTTAGGTGCACGCTGACAAAACAAAACAAAACAAGCAGACCAGTTTTTCTAAGATCCATGGAACTTCTGTTTCATGTCATACCTTTAGCAGGTTTCTTCAAAATTCTCACCTCCCACCCCAACAGGCACATACCTTCATACTGTTGTGGTTTTGTCTGCCTGCTTCTGTGTCACATCTCGCATTCTGGAATGGACTGCTTGCCACTTGGGTCAGGACTTTAGGTTACCCATCTCTGGTGTATTTAAGCACTTTCTGCTGTACTTCAATCTCTTCTTACCCTGTCAAAGAAGAACAAGACTTTATTTTAAAGCTTGTACCTTTTACTGCCCCGGTTCAGAATGTGACTCCCAACAAGCAGTATAGGGCAAACGGGGGCAGCGACAGCACAGCGGGAAGGTTGGAGCAAAAGGAAGGAAGAGGTCCCTGGAAGAAAAAGGGAGGGAATAAATCTCTTGTTCTGATGTTACCTCAAGACATACTGTACTCAAGGGCTCCATGCTTTAGTCTGACAGTGCTCCTATTGAAATCAGCCTTCGTTGATTTTGATAGCAGACGATAGTGCTGGATGATGATGTTACATGCAATTATGGATTTGAAGTATAGAATTACTTGATGTAATTAATTTTCTCTTTTTTCCTGTTTTCCTCAGAACACCCATACTCTAGAAATATGTTGTCAAACTCTTTTATAGTGAAAGTGGCATAGTTTAGCTACAGCCAAGGTCCTGGAAAATCACTGGGGATTGTATTCTGCTGTCCTCAATCAAGAAGAGCAACACCTTTATGACACAGCTGGTCACACTGGAAGAAATAAGGGTGGTTGTATGCTTTTCTTACAAATTCTGGTCTGGAGATGGGGACCTACATTTGTTAAGGGGAACAGATACTGCCTTGTATTTCAATGCTGAGTAGAGGAGGGGTTGCTTGGTTTAGAAGGAGGAAGTTCCTGGACAATGTGAACTGATCAGCTCATCAGCTAAAATAATGTAGTGAGAATGTTACTGTACTTCTGATTTTTTTTTTTTTATTTTTTTTTAACTTATCTCCCTCTGATCATGCAGTGTTGCCATTAAAGCTGTAGTGTAACCTCTGCTTGTCATGTCTGAGCTCCCTCTGGTGTGGAGAGAACAGGTACTGCTTGCACAGATGTGAACAGAAGTCGACTTGAGGGGTAATTTTACCTTTGTTGGTACTTATTTAAATGTTATTCATTCCAGTCACAATGGCCATGTGCACAACTCCTAGTTAGGACTGCTGGCTTGCAAACGTCTGAGTAAGTGAGCATTGTTTTGCTTCCAGGGATGCCCAAGGATGTTAGGAGAGGTGGCCAAGGCCAGGGAGAATTTGTCTCACAAAATATACAGAGACCTGATCTCACATTAACCATAACAAGCACAAGCAACCTGATGTTTTACTGTTATCCAGTAGGAACCTGGCAGCAACCTTTGTGATTCCCAAGTAATCTGTCATAAGCCCCTATTTTATACTGCTCATAACCACTAGGTCTTAAATACTTCGTGTTTGCCCCAGACTAAATATTTTCAACTAAACTATTGTCATAAGTAAGTGTTAACTAGAAATTACTGTGCCATAATCACATCTAGGACACGAAATTTTTGTTGAAATAGGTTTGGGGGAATAATTGCTGGAAATTCACCATTCTTTCCACAGTATTTATTTGTTGTGAAATTCATCCATTTTGATGACATTCCAAGAGCTTAGGGCGCTAATTTGCAAGTGTGGTATGCCATAGACTAAAGATTTTCTGTACCAAATCTGAACAGAAGCTTTGTTTGATATATTTATTTATTTATATATATTTTTTTGGACTGCCTAGTATTTCAGGTTTAGCATAATGGCATTGCAAATGTTAATGTACCTCAATTGGTATTTACAGCACTGTTCAGCAGTGTTATTCATCATATAAGCCCAGAATTCTACTTTTGGGAAAAAAAAATGAGTGTAAATGCTTAGATCACATACACTCCAACAGAAGTAGGACTTCCATCTAATAACAGAAAAAAAATGTGTGAATTCATCCTGGGGATAAGTGGGTACAGCTCTACTGAAGCGAATGGTCTTTTCGTATAAGTGGAGTTGCACATGTTTTCTCCAGGGATCAGTTCAGTCCACTTTGCCTTTGTAGTCTGTGCTGAAATTCTTCAAGATAGGAAAAAACTTATGGAGTATTTGCATGTACTAAGTGCCTGGCATAGATCAGAGTCTCTATTTTTCACTTTTGCTAGCAGTACAATCACTTAAAATTAAAGAAAAAAATAAAACAAGTAATTAATCCTGTATGAATGTTCAAACATTCTGTTGCTAAGAGTTATTTTCTCCCCCCAGACTTAGGACTTCCTCTGTGCACGGTCCAAGAAGGCTAGCAAAAGTCCTTTCCAGGAAAATACAATTTTCAAGTACTGTGATTGTGCTATGATACTCACTCTACCTGAATCTTTTTAGATAACGGGCATCATGCTGTCTTTGGTTTATTTATCTGTGATCGAAGAGCAGGGGAACTAGCAGAAGCAGTCAAGGAACACATTAAGGGGGTACGCACTGTTTGTGGTAGTAAGATCAAGCAGGACTTGTGAGGAGGAGAATTTTCTTCATCTAGAAATTCAGCTGTGCTCAAAATAAGATCCACCCTTGCAAAGGGAAAAGAACAATCTGGAAAATTTCTCTCCTCCCCACCCCCTGATATTGGTTTAAAGGTATGAGTTGGGACTCTGGGTGTTTTTCCATGGTCTTTTGCAGGCCAGTCTAAAGATCATCCTGTCCACAGTCCAAGTTGGCTAGCACCCAGCCAGCTCCCATCCCAAATCTGCGTAGCTCTATTAGTGCAGAGCTGTGTCCACTCTATTAAATCTTCCGAGAGCCTCACTTGCAAAAATCTGGTTAGACATTCCCCAGAAGATATTAGCTCAATATCCAGCACTGGCACCATTTCACTGTGAAACCTTGGAAAAAGTGCCTCGAGCCAGATTTTAAATGCACAGAGCCATCCCAGAGCCCACTGTTAAAATGCCACTGATCTTTTAAGAGACACTGCTCAGTTGCAATCTCTGTTTTTGCCAGAGGGTATATATAAAGCCACTCAAACTTTGACACTGCCTCTCAGGGAGGCTGTGAATGTACTTGTGCATTAACCCCTAAGTACAGGCACCCTCCTTCTGATCCCATAGAAACATAATTATTTATACAAACTGACATGACACAATTAGGGAGAATCAATCAACCTCAGGATACCCAGTGCCTCAGCGGCTGGGATATGTGAAAGGTGTCCTCTAGACTCTATTACAAATTTGGTAGAAACAGTCAAAATAAAATCTTGAGCTACCCTGAGGGTTGCTTTGGTGATAAAATCTGTGCCTGACGAGATGTCCACTGCTCTCCCCTCTGCTTTATTACATATAGGAAGTGCAAAGTTCAGCAGCCAGGATCCTCAGGAGGGACATCCTACCTGGGCTGACAGAAGTGCTTGTTTTCTGCCTCGCGGGTACAATCTCAAGCTGCTTCCTCCACAGTTCAGCAGCTGTGGCCCTCTCTAAGCTGTGGTGGGTGGCAGCACAGGCACCACTGCTGGAAGGTGTCCCAGTGCAGGACATCACGCTGCCAGGCTCAGCCTTGCAGCTCTGCAATACCCGAGTTGTTTGGGGACACAGCCGTGATGTTCTCACCGCTGTTTTCTAATCAGGAAAAAAAAGAAATTACATTTTTCCTTTCCAACTCCTCGCTTGTGTTATCTGTTTATAGCTAAGTTCTTTGCTGTGTTTGCTACTGCATTCAGATCAGATAATGCATAGAAATCTGATCTTGACAGTGCCCTGTGCTGCAGAGGGGAACAGCTTTCCCTTGTCATTGCTGACGGGGAGAGAAAGGAGAGACTTCACCCAGGCAGGTGGTGGTTGTTCCCATGAAGGTCTCTGTGCAGGAACCTTCCCTGGCTGCAGCGTATCAGTGAATATACACGGGCTCTTACCACCACCTAAGCCCTCAGCTCTTTCTGATTCAAAATACACCTGGACAGAGCTCTGTGTTGTTAGAAGAATAAAGACTTCCATCATCTGATCATAGTTCCTTCCACCTCCTCCTACTGGACAATTTCCTTCTTAAAGATTTTTTTTTTTTTTTCCCAGAATATCTCTCTGAGCCTGGTGCTTGAAGTCTGGCCAAAGCAAGCAGCCCGGTTCCTTTGGCAAACATTTTTTATTGTATTGGTGCCTGTTACTGCTTTCTTTTCCTAGGACAGTAAGGACAGTAAGTGGTCTTCATCTTTTTTCTTTCAGGTTTCTCAAATGGTGGGTCAGCTTTGCTGGTGTTTATTATTCTGAAAGCAACCATAAGGGGCTGCAAGGCCCAAAGGGATGAAGAAATGTGGTGAATTCTGCTATGATTTATATGGAACTCTGTGTAAGAAAGAGGTGCAAAGTGTGTTGTACACAGGCAGGTAAGTAAAGGTACATGGAAACCTCAATTTCCAAATCCTTTCTGAATGAGGTCTAAGAAGACTACTTCCAAAGCCACACTTTTTTATTTATTTTTTTTATTTTTTTATTTTTAACCTGACTTGTAAATTTACCTGAATTAAATTTTGACTTTCTTCATGTGGGAAGGACAAAGGCAAAACTACAAGAACAATTTTGTTAACTTCTTCCGTATCATCATTCAAGAGGTACCGCTGAAGAGATCTGCAGTCAGTTTAACAGGGGCATGTGTATGTTCATAGGGTACACTTCCAAATTGTGTTACAAGCTGGATTTGAATTTTGTCCTGATTCTAAGACAGGAAGACTAACAAGACCAGCAAGAGAGTCATTTGCAGAAGACGTTGGACCTATATTATAGGCTTATTTCAGAATGTTTACCTGATCTCCTTATAGTTCTTTAACAGAAGGTATGTGTGGGTTTTAAGGAGATGAAGAAACCTTTGAAATGACCTGCTTTTGTGAAAGAAAGGAGATGCTACTATTTGGCTTTTCTTCCCCATGGTGGCCTTTGTCCTTTCTGAAGAGTAAGACATTTCACAGTGCATACCAGGGGCATATTGAAAGGAATGCGGGATGAAAAAGCAGCCAAATTTTTGCTTCAGCCTCGCTGGAAAGCGGCTATGAAATGAGAAACAAAGGCTGTGGCTGGCCACACCTCGTGAAGATGGCAGCACCGAAGGGGCTGTGGCAAACTCCATCTCTCCCCTCCCTACACCAGGCACTGGTGCAGAGCGCGGCTTGCCCACCTCAGGCATTGTAATTCTGCTACAGCCACGCGTGCCATCGGAATTCAGCTGTCATATTCTGCGAGCTGGAATTCATCAAAGCGTACTCACCAGCCTTTTAATTAGTGTTAGATTAGCATTTTAAGATATGGGTAAATTCCCAAGTCTAACTTTGTTTAAAGGTGCATATTCAATACAGTAGCCAGGAAATCATGTATTCTCATGGACTTATTACCTTAGTAATGTAATGCTGTGAGGGAAAGAGGCAGATAATACTTCCGACAAATATTAAATGCTATTTGTATGGCTACTGCCTGTGAATTTAAACAGAAAATCGTTCCTCACGCCTTACCATGAAACACACGCAAATTTCTTTTGTGGCTTTCATGTTTCATTAAAGCTTTGTATGTGGAAGAGAGGAAAATCTAAATTGCTACTTAATTAAAGGGATACTGTCAGATTAAGTATATTTTGAAGAAATGAACTTTGCTTTTTACCTGGGTTGTCAGTAACACCTAGGA